TTCCTTGTAAAATTCCAAGCATAATTCATATATCATTTCATATACCTAAATTCAACAGTTTCCGAAATATTTAAATTATTTTTAAGATAATAAGTTAAAATAGTTTGTCTTTCTCTGTCTAAGTACGCCATTTTTACATACTTAACAAGACATATTGACATAATGTCACTATAGTTATTTATTTTTAATAAACATTTCGTTATACTAAGGCTTCTTAATTTAGGTAACAATTTAAAAAAATGTTTGATGATAACGTTTCAAATGAGAATATTTTAGAAACGGTTGAATTTAGGTTTATAGTTTGTTATACAAAAATTCTAAGCATAATTTATATAAATTATGCTTAGAATTTTACAAGGAATCGAAAAATAAATATAGGTTGATCCATTGAGAAAAAACTAAACTCTTTTGTTTTTCCCTGTATACTGATCAGTTCTCCAATTTTTTTGTAGGTAAAAAAAGTATTTTTTAGTCCCTACATAACCACACTTTAAATTTTTTGGGACACTTAACCCGTAACCGGTACGGTACGACTTTCAGGACCCCTTAGTACCGTTTATGCATAAACGGTACTAAGGGGTCTGAGAGACACCTGCCTTTTAAAATTATAATTTATATTATTTTTTTTATCTGAGGCTTTGGGAATACAAGGAACTATATATAAAGTTAGAATATCACCAAAAATAATACCTAAATAAAAGAAAAATTTAAACAAATAGGTTTTAATTAAAACATGTACATAAAGTGCAGTAGTGCAAACTTTATGATTAAACTATAAAAAATATTAAACCAAACAAAATAAAACGATCTTTATTTCGAAGAATATACCTTAAAAAATAACATACACAAAAAAAATTCAAATATATCTTTTTTTAACAGCAAAAATAACTGCTTCAAACTATAGCTGATTTTTACAACTATTTTTCCCATAGTAACTTTTTTGTTTTTTTTTCAAATTCTTAAAAAATTTCAAATTCTTCTCTATCTGACCCTATAAAATTATTTTCTATAGACTCTTCACAGACAAGTCCTGAATCGCTGCTGTGATTATCTTCAACGACATTTATGTGATTATAATCACTATAATGGTTATGTAGTATACTTCAGTCATCTATATCACTTATATCGCTGTCGATTTTATAAAACCACTACATTACAGTTTCCTTGAAGCCTTTCTTATTACTTTGGACACTTTTAGAAAGCCCTTGTTGCGAATCCATAAGGAATTAATTGTTTTATAAAAATTACGTAAACGGTACTCAGTGGTCTACTAGACACCTCAACATTTTGACTCGTAATAATTTGTCCGTTTGACAATCCAACTTGTTCAAAGTCTGAGAGCATATTGATAACTGCTCAACTTAAAAGTATTGGAAGCGACAGATTTTTAAAACAAAAGGTGAGGGTGTGACAGCGCTTTGTTCGTTGATGAGTGTCTCCCAGACACCACAGTACCGGTTACGGGTTAAAATAAAAAAGTTAAAGGGGGGCGACATTATAGGGGATCACCCTGTACATAAAATAATAAAAATAACAATTCTTAAAAAGTTTATAATTTTACCTATATACATGTTAAAAAACCTATAGGCTATAATACATTATTATATTATACTAGTTAATACCTAGTAGGTATATAATATATACATATAATTTAATACTTACAACAAAATGTTTTGATGCTTACGATATTTTGGCAAAAAGTCATCGATAATAAACGGAAATACTCGTATATTTTACTCGTGAATTCCACGAGTATTTTTTACGAGTACAGTAAGTACGAGTAATAAGTATTTCAAATGAAAAATACTTATCAGTAAAAAAGTACTCGTACTTGAATTGAAATACGAGTAAAAGTACTCAGTACTTGGCCAGCTCTGCTTATAACTATTGTCATTTGTTTTTGGGTGATGATAAATTGTAGTAAGTAAATAATTATTTCCCTTAATGTTAAATTCAATAGATATTAACCATAAATAACTTTCAGTTACAACTTTTGTTACTTTATATTTAATTTTTTTTTATAAACTCACCCCACCAGTTCTTGAATTGGTTGTTCTGTTATATTCATTAATTTCCAACTCCTTATTGCAAATAAGAGCAGTTACATGTGTTTCACTAAGACGAATACATCTATAAACGTTTTATCCTTGACAGATAAAATTCATAATATTTTGTTCTAATTGGTATATATTAAATTTAGAGCTGTTTATTTCTCTTTCAATCATTTTTTTATTGGTTGGACAGTTTTTGTCATATGCCGGATGATTTGTGTTTATATTCAAATTTAGTTTATTTAAGTACTGCCCATTTACAGTTAGCATATTTTTCTTCATTTGCGTCACATTTGTCTGTCATATGTTTTCCTGTACATTTTAAACAGCATATTTTATGTTTACATGTTTACATGTAATGCATTAATAATGTACTGCAATGTAACAAATACACACCTCTAAATTTAATGTTAAATGTACTTACTAAATTTTATGTCTGTTAGACAAAGAATTACTTTTAGAACCTTAATCTTTGTTTTTAAAATATTAAACCACATGAATCCCATATATTTAACTAAAAAAGTAAAATTAAACTGTGATATACATAACTATCCAACAAGGCAAGACAAAGATATTTATATAGATAAACCAACGCAGGGCCGTTCCTGGCGAGCGTGCAGTGCGTGCACGCACGCAGGCGCAACATTTGGGGGCGCAAAGTCAAAGAGTCAATCAGTAAGGTACTGATAAACTGTAACGATAAACTTTCTTAAAAATAAACAAATATTTAAACATACATAGGATAAAGGTTACCGCCGTTCTTTGCGTCGGCCGCTTTAAAGCCTTATGCTGTTCTTCTTTTTAGCCGCTTTAAAGCGCCTTTTGACTAATTAATTTTTAGACACTTAAAACCAGTTGTAGTTTTTTTTGTCGTTAAAGTATTTTTATTACTAAATATTTTTTGTGATTTTGTTTGTTTGGTAATTTAATAATAGTTATTTATGTCATTAGGTTAAGAAGTAAGGCTTTTTGTGCTAAGCTCAAGGTTTGAAGGCCGACGCGTAGCGGAGGCATACAATTGAGCGAAGCACAAAAAGGCACTTCTTGGCCGAATGACATACAACATTTTATCTTCAAAGCACTTTATATAGGTCAATTTAATTCAATATCAAAGCGGCCTAACCTCACTTTTTTATAATCTCATTTATTTATTAGTTAAGATTACATCAAATGTACAATGATGAACAACATTATTTAAGTAGAAATGAATTTTTGCTATTACATTGAATTCAATTAATTGTTTAATAAATAGGTAGGTGCCTATCTAATTTCAATTTGTTTGGATTTTTATTTAAAAAATAGGTAGTTTGGAATGTTTAAGCTGTGTTTAACATTTAATTTCACTGAAAACTTAAAGCAAATTAAAACTTAAAGATAATTTAAATCGTGCGTTTTCTTGGTTGCTTAACCTCACTTATTGTTTTATTATTCATATTTAATTTTACAATAATTTAATGAAAAATATTAAACATTAACAGTAAAACAAACAAATTAGTGCTTATTATAAATAAATTAAACCAGTTTAGTACGTTAATTTCTTAAAAAAGGATTAATTTGTCAAAACAACACCCCTAGCGAGAAAAAATCGAACTAATTACTTGCCTCATAAAAATTTTTATCGGCCTAGGCCATAACAAGGTATTTCTTTATCGAATGTTGACAACAATAAAGTTTAAATTATAGACCGCGTGCATCTCCATGGAGATAAATATTTTTTTACTTAGTTTCAGCAGTTTTTTTCACATTTTCAATTACATATTACCAGTTTGTCGCAATATATATATATATATATATATATATATATATAAATATTAAATTATATATATATATATATATATATATATATATATATATATATATATATATTAAATTATATATTTATTAAAATTTTGTATTAAATTGTGTTCAGATATTATAATATCTGAACACAATTTATCATTTCCAAATAAATTGTAAAATTTAAAATAATTAGCACAGGTGGATAATACGTTTTCAGTTTTTTCTCACCTTTCGTGGTTATGGTATATGTTAAAAGAATTTATGATTCTTTAGGCTTCCGTGGAGTATTGTAAGAAAATTATTTGTATGATCTTTTGCCAGGTATACGGAATTGTAACCACAACAAACAAATTTAATTATTTAAAATATTTTGAATATGTTCACCAGTGGACAGCAATCAACTTGCACACATGTATAAATTATACATTTTGTTTGTTGGGTGATATTTAACTTATTAAAACACATTTTTTAAACATTACTCTAAAATTAAAAATATAAGGTGTTTAAAGTTAAACAAATCAATCTACTTCTAAAGTTATTAATTATGCAATTTATTTGAATCTTTTTAAGGAATTTAATGTTTTATTTTTTAGTATTGTTTTATTGATTTATTATAATACATAATTTTTTAAAGCGTCCAATGTCTTTCTTATTATTATGAGTTTATATAGAAAGATTTCATATTAATACTAGTTCAAAAGTAAAATTAGCATTAAATTATGTTCAGAAATAAAGCTAAAATACCATGTTAGTTGAACCTAACTTAAAAATGATGTGGCAAAATGTTTAACAAATATTTAATTAAATGCTAAAAAAATAGTATACAAACGCCGTGTTTGTATACTATTTTTTTAGCATTTAATTAAATATTTGTTAAACATTTTGCCACATCATTTTTAAGTTAGGTTCAACTAACATGGTATTTTAGCTTTATTTCTGAACATAATTTAATGCTAAAAGCTTATTAATTGTCTCGCACACAATCTATGAATGCTCGGCGATAATACGTATGTGTTTTTTGCCCCAGGTCTATAGAAACTATATCTAAAATAAACAATTGCTTAAATATTATTTTTATAAATTGTTGAATTTGTCCAAGGAAAAACACCCGGTATGCGTATGTTGTAAATAATGTATTACATATATTATTAAAAAAAAATTACTACTTACAAAATAGAACTGCTACAAAATCTGTTTCTTGTACTATTTTATCTAATATTCTTGCATTAACCTCTTCTATACGATCGGGCAAGTCCATTGCTTCTAAGCTTGTCAAAAAATCTAGCACATTTTCTTCATCCATCAAATCCCCTGTAACAAAATTTAATAATATAATAATATATTTTTTCTACTCCTATTACGGAATTTGACCCTTCTAATATCACTTTCATCTATGGAATGACATATATTCCGTAAAGTGTTATATGTAGGTATTAAATAATATCATATAAATGTAATTATAATAAACTAAATTAAGCTATTTTATAAAAAGATGTTTTATTTAGATTTTAAAAAGAACCTCTTACATGTTTTTAATTAATTTTTTGATAAAAATGTCCGCCATTTGAGGTCCACCATTTATTATCAGCGACCACAAAAACCCCTGCATGGTGATTTTCAATTTATTCCGTCAATTTTTTGACAAATATGTCCGCCATTTTGGATCTACCATTTTGAATTTTGGAATTCTGATTTCAGATTCGTTATCAGCGACCCCACAAACCCCTGTATGGTGATTTTCAATTTATTCCGTCAATTTTTTGACAAATATGTCCGCCATTTTGGATCTACCATTTTGAGAGATAAGGTACAAACGACGCCCATTCCGATAGTGTCGAAACACGACTCGCGCTCGGTAGGTACATCCTGCAACCTATGCGCTCCTAATATTTTATATAATTAAAATCTGACTTAATCACAAACAAATAAAATATAATATGTATGTATACATTATTCAAACAGGTTTTTGCTTATTTTTCCTGGAGTGCGTTCAAAATGAGAGTGTAGTTTGGATATGGTATAAGCAGAGCTGACCACGAGTACTAAAAAAAGTATTCGTAAAATTTTAAGTACGACTACTTAAAATATTTACTCGTACTTTACTCGTAAGTACATTTGTAAAGAGAGGTTACGGTTACGAGTAGTAATCGTAAGAATACGAGTAAAGAGTACGAGTACTTTTGAAAAAAAAGTGTTACTTAATATAATTGATTATTCTTTATACATTATACATACTTTGGTCCTGAGCTATAAAAATACAAATACAAATTTATAATAATATTATTAAGGATCACCCTTTATATGTATTTATTTTTCGATTCCTTGTAAAATTCTAAGCATATTTCATATATCATACCATATACCTAAATTCAACCGTTTCTGAAATATTTAAATTATTTTTAAAATAATAAGTTGAAATAGTTTGTCTTTCTCTGTCTGAGTACTCCATTTTTACTTATTTAACAAGACATATTGGCATAATGTCACTATAGTAATTTTTTTTCGTAAGTAATATCATAAGGGCATTTAATTTTTCCGAAAAGAATCGAAAAAACACGTTGCTAAGTGATATTTTAACAAAAAGCATGAGTGCTGGTGGCAACAAAAATCCGAGTCGAAGAGGAGGATTTTTGCACCTGCACGAATGCTTTTTGTTAAAAAATATTACTTAGCATTGTGTTTTTTCGATTTTTTTCACAGGAAAAATTAGATGCCCGAATGGTATTTGACAAGACTATTTCATGAGTAACATCCCAAGTAGCACAACTGGTTAAATTAACGTTAAATTTACGTTCTGTCTGGTTAATTTACTTAAGTTATATTGTACTATAACGTTAAATTAACATTAAATTAACGTTATTTTGTAATAAGTGGGGAATAAAAATCATGGTTAATTTAACGTTATGTTAAGTAAATTTAACTTCTTGGTTAATATACCTGTCGGTTAAAAAAAGTTAATATTTGGTAATTTTTGGTTAATTTTACCCTTTTTTGACTGCTTTTTAACTCTTTAGTCAACTTAAACTAAAATGAAAAAACCAACCATTTTAAGTGTATTTTAACTTAATATAATTATAATTATAATTATAATTATAATTTACTATAAGTGGGTATATTATACTACACCAAGTATGCATAGATCTATGAGTCTTAAGATTTTAAATAAAATGTCTCCCCTGAATATTAATATCTTCATTTTAAATATTTAAAAGAGGTAGTTCTAGGAGAAAAACTTAATATAATTATAATTATAATTATAATTATAATTATAATTATAATTTACTATAAGTGGGTATATTATACTACACCAAGTATGCATAGATCTATGAGTCTTAAGATTTTAAATAAAATGTCTCCCCTGAATATTAATATCTTTATTTTAAATATTTAAAAGAGGTAGTTCTAGGAGAAAAACCAATGGGGCATTTTTTTTCTGATGAAATGGCTCATAATACTTTTATATTTTAAACGCGCTCAAAAAAGAATACGAAATAAAGAAAATAAAAATTTTAAAAAAATATTTTTTTTGCTTATTTATTTTTTATTTTACTTAAAATTGATTTAAAATACTCAAACATAAAATAATACTTTTTTTTATTATTGGTTTATTTAAATTACCTTATTTTTGAAATAAAAATCAAAAATAAAAATTAATGGCATTTCCTTTTGTAAAATGAACAGCAAGCAATATGGCGATTATAGGATGCTTTTACTAATTGATTATTTAACCAATATAAATTAACCTGCAAGTTTATTTAAACCATTTAGTTATTTCCTTCTGTTTAAGTTAACTACTTTATTTACCCATCCGTAATTTATAACTCTTTGGTTTTGGTTTCAATTTGGTTACATTTAACACATTATAGTTAAAAATTACCAAAATTTAGTTAAGTTAAACTAACTTGTTATTTTCAAAATAACTAACCTAAAATAAATTCCCGCCGAACGTTCTGGAAAACGTTGCAGTGTGTACTACATAGCAGTGTTGCCAATCGGCGGATTAAAATCCGATTTGCGGATTTTTTTTGAACAATCGGATTTTTTTCGCATTTTGTAATTCGGAGAATTTTTTACGGATTTTTTTGGATAAAACGGATTTTTATATATGTTTAAGTATGTTTTTTTATATCCTTTGTTAATTTTTTTAGTTAAAATGCTGAGTATTTTTTAAAATGTTATTTATGTTGTGTTCTGATTAAAAGCTAAATTTTAAAAGTGTTTACGTTTGTTTTATCTACGTATGTTTAATTTTGTTGTGAAACACAGGAAAAAGAAAGTGTTTGAGGTTTTATTTTTATTTTCCGCCATAAGACACTTTGAAAATTGCAATAGACACTTATAACCTATCGAACGATGTTTTTTTCTGGTCGTTAACAATTGCTATATAAAAAAGCATTTATACTTTCTGTTCACACCTCGTATGTAAATCGAATTTTTTTGGATATTTTCGTATTTTTTTACAGGTTGGAGCGGATTATTATAGCGGTTATAAGGCGTTGGTAACACTGCTACATAGACAATCGTGTGGCGTTCAAAGTTTATTTATAAAGAGGCTTTATTTCTGGTACCTATTTAAGTGCCTAATATAAGTTCCTAGTATTATTTTTCTATGTAGGTAACAATGAAAACTGCAAAACCATCACTTTATTAACGAGTTGGTTGATTAACGTTAATTTACCATTTAGTTAAAATACATTTGGTAAAATGCAACTTGTTGGTTAAAAAATATAGTCAAATTAACCAAAACTGTGGTTAACTTATCAAAAGGTTCAATTTATAGTTAATATGAACCAAAATATAACAAGAAAATTAACTACTCTTTACCAGTTTTATTGGTTAAAATTTAAAGTTAATATAACGTTATATAACTTCGAAAATAACCTACTTATTAACTAAGGTAAATTAAAGAATTAAAGGTGGTGCAACGATCACGGACTATCCGTCAATCCGGATAAGACAGAAGTAGTACCATTCACCAACCGAAGAAACATTAACCTTGAGGGGCTCACGCTCTTTGGATCAAGACTGATCCCATCCAAATCAGTCAAGTATCTAGGAGTCATCATTGACTCCAGGCTGACCTGGAAGGAACATGTCAACAGGGTCGTCCAGAGGGCCACTCATAGCCTATGGGCATGCAGAAGGACCATTGGACGCACCTGGGGCTTAAAACCCCACATAGTGCACTGGCTTTACACAACAGTCATAAGGCCAATGATCACATACGGCAGCCTTGTTTGGTGGAATGCGTTAAGCAAGCCCACCTACAGGAAGAAGATGGACAAGCTCCAACGATTTGCCTGCATGGGCATAATTGGAGCTTTCAGAACCACTCCAACACAGGCAATGGAGGCCATACTGGGACTGGCGCCTCTACATCTCTTTGTGGAGGCACGGGCTCGAGAGGCCTCAGTCAGACTCAACGATTGGGGACAGTGGACTCATGGGGGGGAGAACTCAGGGCATGCAAGGGCCTGGACTGAGACTATCAACCGGGACCCCCTTCTCACAAGAAGGGATGCAATGCCAAAGACGTCTACCCCCCTCAGGAGATATAAAGTGGTTTTCCCCTCCAGAAACGACTGGAGCGAGCCTGACCCAGGCTTTCTCAAACCGGAAGGGCTCATCTGGTATACAGACGGGTCTTTAATGAAAGAAGGTGCAGGAGCTGGTGTATATGGAGAGCGACCTGGGGCGAGAATAAGCCTTGCACTAGGTCGATACCCAACGGTATACCAGACTGAAATCTTTGCCATCCAGATATGCGCCCAAGAGAATCTCCAGAGAGGCTACTCGGGTAAACATATCTACATATGCAGCGACAGTCAAGCAGCACTCCGGGCTCTTCACTCGGAAAGGGTCAACTCGAGACTTACACTGGACTGCATAAAAACCCTCGAACTACTCAGTGTGCTCAACAAGGTTAACCTTATCTGGGTACCGGGTCATCGAGGCATCAGAGGCAACGAGGAAGCAGACCAGCTGGCTCGTGAGGGCAGCAACACGGCCTTCTTGGGGCCGGAACCTGTCATAGGGGTCGCCTCCTGTCTGGTAAAAACCAAGATCAGGAACTGGACTAACGACCAGTTCCAGAAAAAATGGCGTGAACAACAAGGCCTCAGGCAGTCAAGGGCCTTTATAAAGAGTCCTACTACCTGCAAAGAGGCAAAAAGATTCCTGAAACTTAACAGGAACCAGTTAAGAACCATCACAGGAGTCCTAACAGGACACTGGGTAGTCAAATACTGCAGCGAAGTAGACGAAACTACCGAGCATATAGTCTGCGAATGCGACGCTCTAGTCAATAGTAG